AGAAATTAAAATTAAAATTAAAAAAATACAAAGGAAAGATCATTTTGTATTTATATATACAAAATAGGATAAATTTACAGCTACTTTTGCTTAACTCAATGAGAAGAAAGAGGTGTACTAACAGTGTTTGGACAGAATATCCTGTGTGCTTCTTGTACTATGGATAACCACTAAGAAGATAACAATGTGCAGTGTATTGACTATCAAAACTGTCCTATTAATCAGCTGTAAAACTGTCTCATTCATATTTATTTCTCAATAAAAAAATAAAAATTAAAAAAAATTGAAGGGATCCAATAAATTCACTCCTAGCTATTGTAGACCCTTCACACATGGTTCAGCACATCAAAGGCCCAAGAATCCTTACATATTTGCTCAGAGCCCCTTTCAAAAAGTAACTGCCTAACTGCATCCTCCCAAGCTAGCATATTAAGGAAACAGCTCTCTAAGCCAGGGAGGTGAAAAAACAGATATGTCAGAAGCTTGACCCTGCTTTCTCCTCCCCAACCCAGGTAAGGCTGTGGTGCCACTGACTCTGGATTTTCCAAAAACTAAGAAAGCCCCAGTGTATTCACAAACATTCCCTTAGAGTGTAGAGATCATTTGTGAAGTTCTTAGAGAAAAAAAAATATGCATTCACATATGGCAAAGCAGGGCTATTCTGCTACTGCCCTGTGTGTTTGTCCAGCTTCTGAGAAGATGTCATTGCCTTGACTAGTGAAATCAGCATTAGCTAATAAAAATGTGTGAAGTAAAAGAAAATAAAGAGCAGCATACTGAAGATTGCATGCTGTTATCAGGACCCCCAGCTTGGAAGCACAGACTCACAACAAGTAAGACTCACAGCATCCCAAGCCTCCAGGAAAATGTCCCCCCAGGTCTGCTGCACTGCAGTGCATTGCCTTACTGCTAGACCATTGTCCCCCATTACTTGCAGGGAATACATTCCAAGATGCCCCCATGACTACAGATACTAGTAAATCCTATATAGTGTCTTTCCCTATACGCACATGTCTGTGGTGAATTAATTAATTTATGAATTAGACATAGCAATTAACAATAAGCAACAACAAAATAGAATAATTGTGCAATATACTACAGTGAAGTTAGGTAAACTGTGTTTTCTCTCTCCTCTCTCAACCATTCACTTACAGGAAGTGCTTGGCAGCTTCTCTCTGGCATATCTAAATTGTGAAGATCATTTCTCCTGTGTTTCAGCCACCCCATTCTCTTTTTGTTTTTGTAGTCATTTTAGGTTTTTTGTTTATTGTGTTTTTCTTTCCTTTAATTTTTTCTCTCCTTTTCTTTTTAGTACCTCCTTTCATTTTTTTCTCTCTTTTCTGAATGGCTGGGGAGAACCCAAGCCACAGAAAATTAATCCCAGAGACCAAGTTCAGCTAATCTCTTGCTTACCTCTCATTCTTTTTCTTCTGTCCTCTTCTCTAGTTTCCTAAAGTCTGTGTGATCATGTTCCTCCAACCTTGTTTCTACTTTCTTTTCAGTTATCTTTGTTGTATCCACTATTCTTCTTAAGTCTCCCCACCACAGGGTAAAACCACTCTACCAAGGGAAAACACTTTGCCTGCACCCTCCCAATTTACTGTTGGCTCTATTATGTAATTGTAGATTTTGCTCCTATGATTTGAGGCCAAAATTAATAGCTATCTGTCTCAGTCTGTCAGTTTCTAAACTGTGCTTCATGCTATTGTTATTGCTAATTATACTATTTTATCTGGGATGTTGCATCTGTTTTAATCAGGTGTTCTCCCTTCTGTAACAATACTGGGAAGCTCTGGGGTAATAACCATGCCACAATGAAGCACCAAAGACTGGGGGAGGAGCCAAACAGATACTAATGTCTCACTGTAAATTAACTGGGAAGGTAGTTATCTTGGAACAGACAAACCAAGAACCTCCTACATACAAAAGCCACGCTATGTACAGAAACATCCCTGAGGAACACTTTTCCTAGACAGGATTTGATGCTAGTGATATAGCTACCTATTACTAAAACTTATAAGATTAAACACAGAAAAAAATAAACATTTTTAAATAGAAAATGACAAGTTGCAGACACAGATGCAAACTCAGAAGATCTCCAACCCACCCAGCACAAGTCCATAAGACAATGGAACACACACTGCCAGAATTTCTGAAATGATAGTAACCTAAGCAGTAATGATTTTGGAAGAATTGTTTCTTTTTCAATTTCATTGAAGAATTTGAGGAGTATTGGGATTAAATCTTCTCTAAATTTCTTATAGAATTCAGCTGTAAATCCATCAGTACCTGGGCTTTTCTTTGTTGGTAAGTTTTTTGCTTACATTTTCAATTTCACTGGCTTATTCAGTTTTTATATTTTCTTCATTCAGTTTTGGCAATTTGTATCTATGTAGGAATCTGCCCATTTCTTCTATTTGTTGATTCTGTGAGAGTAAAGATTTTCAAAAAAGCTATTGATGATCTTCTGAATTTCCACAGCATCTATGGTAATTCCTTTCTTTTCATTCCTTATTCCTTAAATTTGAGTTTTTTCTTTCCTCTTTTTGAGGAGGTTCATAAATTTTATTTAATCTTTCAAAGAATCAGCTTTTGGATTCATTAATATTGAATGGACCCTGCTTTTATCGAGGTCCTTGAGCATGTAGTATTGTTTTCCATCCTTTGTATTGTTTTCTTTGTCTCAATTGCATTAATTTCTGCTCTAAACTTTGTAATTTCCTCTTGTTTGGGCTTTGAGCTTATTTGTTCATTTTCTGTTTTCCTAATGTGAGTTCACCACTGTAAATTTCCCTCTAAAAACTGCTTTCATTACATCCCACAAATTCCAGTAAGTTGTGTTTGAATTCTCATTGGATTGTAGATATTGTTCAGTTTCTTGTTTAATTTTAACTATAACCCATTGGTTGCTGAGCAGGGTGCTATTTAGCTTCCGTATGTTAGTGGGATTTTTGTGGTTTGTTTTGTCATTACTTTCCAGTTTCAATGCACTGTCCAATAATATGCACGGGATAATTTCTGGTTTTTTGCATATACTTAAGTATGACCTATGGACTAGTATGTCATCTGTTTTAGAAAACACCCCAAGGGGCTGGGGAGATGGTTCAGTGGAATAAGCGCTTCCCTGGCAAGTGCAAGGGTCTGAGTTCAATTCCTGGTTCCACCAAAAAAGAAAGAAAGAAAGAAAGAAAGAAAGAAAGAAAGAAAGAAAGAAAGAAAGAAAGAAAGAAAGAAAGAAAGAAAGAAAGAAAAAGAAAACACCCCATGTGCAGCTGAAAAGAATGTGTATTCAGATGTTGTTGAGTGGAACGTTACCTATCTTTTTGAGATATGGGAGTGTTAAGGTCCCCTGTTAATATTCTGATATTCATTATTAGATTTTTTATGTCCTTTGAAATTATAGTTGGGTGCTCCGATATTTGGTACATGTATATTTATGAATGCTATCTCTTCCTCTTGAGTTTTGCCCCTAAGCAATATACAGTGACCTTCTTTATCTTGTTTGATGATTCTTAGTTTGAAATTCAGATTGCCTGTGAAGAGAATGGCTACCCCTGCTTTTTTCAAGGTCCTTAAGCATGTAGTATTGTTTTCCATCCTTTAACTTTCAGCCCATGAATTTCTTTATGGAATAAATATGCTTCTTGTATACAGTATATTGTTGGATTTTGTTTCTTGATCCACTCTGTCATCCTTTTTCTTTTAATTGGTGAACTGAGTCCATTTACATTGGTGGTTATTATTGATATGTATTGACTTATATTTGTCATGTTACTCTCCTGCTGTTGGTTCCCTACTTTTCTCCTATATTTAATAGTCTTCTGTGTTTGTTGGGTTCTTTCTGCTGTTGTTCTTGGGTATTTTGATCCCTTTCTAGAATACTTTTAGTAGTCTGTGTAAGTTTGGTTTGGTCATCATGAATTTCTTTAGTTGTTCTTTGTCATGGAAGTATTTCACTTTTCCATTAAACTTGAAAGAGTTTTGAAGGGTGTAATAGTCTAGCTTGGAATTTTTTTTCTTATAGGACTTGAAGTACTTCTCTCCATGTACTTCTTAACTTGATGGTTGTGAGGAAAAATCTGCTGTCACTCTGGTGGGTTTTTCGTTGAATGTGATCAGTTTCTTTTTTCTAGCAGCTTTTAGTATATTGTTCGTGTGCTGAATTTCTGAGATCTTGATTATTATATGTCTGGGTATAGTTTTAATTGGGTTGATATTATTTGGAGTTCTATATGCCTCAGTTACTGAGTGTCAGATTGTTTCCCCATATTTGGGAAGTTTTCTGCTATTATTTTTGCCCATATTCATTTTATGTCATTTGTGTTGTTTCCTTCTTTTTCATTGATGCCTATTAATCTTATGTTGTTCTTTGCATCATCTTACAGCTGTTGAATTATTATTTCCTGGATCTGAGTTATTTTTAAGAAATCATTCCTTACTTTTTCACTAGCTGTAATAGTGTCTTCAAGGTCTGAGACCCTTTCTTCACTTTCATTCTGTTTTTCCAACTTTCAGTGGAGTTTTTAATTTCTTAAAAATCTCTTTGAATCTGCTTCATGCATTCTATTTCTTTCCTATATTTCTCAATGTTTCCATCATTTTTCTCTTCTCTATTTTTGTCAATGTCTTCTTTAGAAACACTTAGTAATTTTTTCATTATAACTATAATTTTTTAACCTGAGACATTATTTCTGATCTTGTTTCCTCTATACTTTTCTCAATGTTCTCTTTACTTTAGTTGCTATTATTTCAGAGGTTTCAGGTGTATGGCTTTCAGTTTCTTCTATGCTAATGTTTCCTGGGTATGTTCTGGGTGGGCTTGGGACCTGAGATTGCATTTTGCTCCTTTTTTTTTGTCATTTTCTACTTCAGAGAGAACTCTTTATTTTTATTTCTGTGATACCTTTTTGTGAAAGTTTGATAGTAGGCAGCTGTATCAATGTAATCAGAGCCTTTCTGTACAGAGCCTCTTTTTTAGGTATCTCTCCTGTGTTTTGTATGTGTCCTATGAATTTTTCTTCTCTGTTGATTGAGAGTGAGATACTGGTTTCCATTTAGCATTGTCCTTCAGTGTAGGGCTTTGGTGAGGTTACTACCAAAGCACCTCCTAATATTAATACCCAAGGGAAAAAATGTGGTTAAAGCAGATTTGATTTCCTATTTACATTAGTGCAACCAGAGATACTAATAACAGGTAGTAAAATTTAGAAATTGACAAACTTTTGTAACTAATGGGATTGTACCTTAGACCATATGAGCAAACATTATAGTTGTATAACAAAGCAGATCTTAAAATGAGGAATTGTATTTATATTAGTTCCCCTGAGTTCTGTCTGAGCACCTCCTCTTCTTGAACCTGGAGTCTTTCAGGCAGACTAGCTCACCCTAGTTACCTGCTGCTACCTCTGTACTGCAAGGATGCTCCTGGGCCAAGAAGTATGCCTCAGCTCACCAGATCTAGATCTACTGAACTTGAATTAGACTGGCAGAACCTGGCTTGGCTCTGTTTGTTGTATTCAACTC